AGCTTCCACAGCTTCCACCCACTGACCGGGATTTGCAATTATCCCCCTGCGATATATCCTTAATGTAGTCATTAACGGTCATTTAAAGGAGGTTTTGTGATGGCGGGTTTGTTTGTGTGTGCGGATAACTGTCACACCACGTCTTACCAACGACGGGAAAAAGGAAGCGGCATCTCTGGGATTATTAAAGTATTCATGATTCTGATTCTGATCCGAGGCTGTGAACTCATCAAACATCCTCCTGATGAGATTTTATTCTGTTCACTGTAAGCGCTGAAATAGAAGTGCAGAGTCTGGTGTGTCCTTTTTTAATTTTATTTTTAATTTATTTTTTAAATTTGAGTTAAATTTATTTTTTAAAATTTTGTTAAATTTATTTTTTAAAATTTTAGTTTAATTTATTTTAAAAAATATTAGTTTAATTTATTTTCTAAATTTTTTTTTTTTTTTTCATTTAATTAATTTTTTTTTTTTTTATTGGTGTGTCCTTAAATGTCCTTAAAAAATTCATAAAAGGAGCAGGAATCCTAAAGTCGAGGTTTTTGTCCATTACTATTACTACTACTAACCTTAAATCTGTCTTGTGTGGTGACATTTACATGAATATGTTTGAATTTCTAGCCAAAAGATCAAAGAAAGATGCCAAACAGCTAATAATTGGAGGTCTATAGTTTTTAGAAAAAGATGCACACACTCCCTTGTGCTCATTTATCTTTGCCGGTTTTCTTTTCCTGGGGTCAAAGGTCAAAGGACGGGGACAGTTGAGCTCCTACAGATTTGGGATGTCCATCCTGCTACTCTGAGGTCTGGTCGGATGTATTTTAACATGGAAATCTGGAGATCGGGACTCATTCAGACCAGCATTTTTGCAAAAAGAGACATCCAAGATGTCTGCTTCCACGCTCCACCTGCCTCTGGACCTGGAGGTTTTTTCCCTGCCTTCCCTCTTTTTTCTGCTAAAGGGAAAAGGAATATAATGACTTGTGGAGGAGGGAAATCGTCCGTATTAACAGAACGCTGTCACAGTGACATCTGATAAGCTCGGCTAATTCTGCCCTGAGGCTCGGAGCCAATTACCAGACGAACACTGATGAAGAGAAGAAGAACTTAATACAAGCAATTACCAGAAACCGGCCCCAGCAGTGGACGAACGCTGACCGTCTGAAGACACTCAAAGACATGGAAGAGGACTTTGAGGCGGGCAGGAGCTATTAGGGAAGGTGACAAAGTCGATTGCCGTGGCCCTTTTTTTTAGAGTTCGCGCACCTGCGAAGAGGTCCACAAATTTAATTGGAAATCATGAAGTGCATAAGATGGGAAGAGTTAAAAGGAGGGATCTAAGAACGGAGGCCGGACGGAGAGCAGGCGGACATAAACACGACTCGATTTCACCGGGGAGCAACGGGGAGGTGGTTAGCACCAGAAGGTTCTGGGTTCGAGTCCCTGGTTCTGGGTTTGTGTCGCCAGAACCACTTTTCTATTCTGTCCTCTTTTGGGTGATTATTTTTTTGTACTTTGCCCTTCCACTCCCCGTGAGGAGACATATTATACCCTATTTCAACAAGTTAAACTAGTTCCCTGGTGTCCTAATGTGATGTCTGTGACAAGCTTTGGTCAAAATCCCATAAGGATGAAGCCCAATAGCAGTTCAGTCCCCCTGCCTAACCCTAACCCTAACCCTAACCCTAACCCTGCCAAAACAGCCCCGTTCAGAGCGCTCGCTTTGGAGTGCCTGTCTCTTTAAATGCAAATGAGACACAGGCAATCCACCCACTTCTTCAGGGAGGTGTGCCCACGTCGGCACGCTAACGCTACCATGCTAACGCTACCACGCTAACGCTACCATGCTAACG